AAATTATTCGGTTTAATTATTTAAGTAACCGAATAAGTTTCCAGATTTAATTCCGATTCGTTTATTTAATTAATAAGTTCGGAATTAATTATTCAGTAAGGAATAGCCTGTCAGATTAATAATATAATCATGTTTTAGCTCCGATATAATAATGTTGTCGATTATTATTTTCGGAATTAAATATTTCAGTCAAGACTCTTCGAAATTATTTTCGAAGTCACGTTCAAGTTCGGATTAATTTTGGTATTTAAGTACCAAGTTAATCAAATAAATCATGAGTTATCAAATAAGCATGTTATTGTGCTTAATTAATTTTATAAGCACGTTTAAGCCATAAAAGCCAAATCATGTCCAATATTTTCCCAAAAAGCCGTGAGCAAAAGAATGTTGGGAAAATTTTTACCAATTCATGAAACACTTATTTCTCATCATTTACTTAGCATGATGTGTCTTCTTCCTAAGCTCCCAACTTATGACTAAGCATTATTAAGGATGACTAAGCTAATTTGGCTCACAATTAAGCCATGTGTATGACATTTGGAGAGTTATTATTGGCCTAAATTTTCCAAACACCTCTTCAGGTTTTTGGTTAGCATAAATATATGTTAAGTATTGGGAGAGTTTTCCTCACTTCACCATATACACTTCCTCATAAATTAGCTAATTGAGTAAGGAAAGTGAGGGCCTAGAGAAAGCACCGCACACAAGTCACGCTCAAGCGCACGGCAAGCGCACGCATCGCACGGAGAGGCCGATCGCAAGCACCGAAGCTCAATTCGGCCGACCGTTTGCAAAGGTAACATCACCTTCCATGTAAATACTGGTTGATAGGACCAGTTTAGATGTACCAAGTGCAGTTCATGGCCATTGCTTCATGTAAGGTTAAGTCATGTTCGGTTTTTGGTGCTTACTAAGTCGTGACCGAACAATATCCATTTTTATCCGACAACTCCAGAACAATTCATGTCTAATTGACCATTTTATGTCATTTTATAATCTTTCAATCCATGTTGGCCGAAAGTTTTTCTAAGTCGGTCGAGTGTTTGGCATAAGGCCAAAGACCGCGCACGGTGCGCGTGTCACGGCTAATTCATGTTAAGTTGAGTATTGTCGGATAAATCAGATAAAATAGCTCATGTCATGATAAGTTAAGGTATATTATGTTACATCATGCTTCAGTTGTCGAGAAAAATTATGGTTCGGTCGATATAAATGATTAAAAGGCCGTAGGCCGCGCACGGGCGCACATCATCGTTCATGTGAGGTCTTTGAACACAAGGCATGATTTTATGTAAACTCAATCAAATTGATTATGTTATGATTAGTCATGTTAAATCATGTAGTAGTTGCCGGAGAAATCGCCAGACGGCCGACGAGGGTCGGTCGTACTTGCGTTGTCCGCACGTAGCGGCCGCAGCGTACCGGCAGTGCGCGGGTGCGCGGGTGATACGCGGTAGAGCGCCGTGTAAGGCCCGTACTCGCAGCATGTAGCTGTTGGCGATGCGTGTGCGCACGCCAACACCCAGTTATGCACGCCAGCATGCATTAACGCACGCCAGCATGCAGCGTCATGCATCAGTGGCCCCGGCACCGCCCAGTAGGCTACCCGAGTGGCCAGCACCGTGGGTGTCGCACGGAAGCGCCCGCACGGTGTCAGTTCTGCCCAGCCAGCACTTGTGTGCGCCTTCTAGTGTTCAGCTGCACGTCGGAGGTGCGTGGTGACACCCAACAGTGCCCAGTCAGGTGGCAGCCGATGCACATAGCACTCGACAGCACTTCAGATCAGGTCTCGTTCACGTCCGCCATGGCCAAGTGCACCCAGCACCCTCGGCCGTGGCCAGGGCAGGCCCGGTAGCGGCCATGCCCGCACCCATTCCCGTCAGTAGTCACGCCCGCAGCCGCAGCAAGGTTGCGAACCGAGTCAGCAGCCAACTGATCGGTCCGAGCAGACCGGCGGTCTGGTCCAGACCGGTTCAGTCCGATTCAGACCGGTTGGGCCGGTTCAGCTCTTAATTTATTGTTTGGTCCCGGTTCATGTTAGTCTCATTTTCAGTTATAGATTCCGAGTCCAGTTCAGTTCAGTAAATTCATGTCCGATCAGTTCATGTCAGATCAGTTCCGGTTATACCGGTTAAGTCCAAATATTATGTCACGTTCAGTAGAGCATCTTAACATAATTAATCAGTTAATTTATCAGTTTGAGCATAGTCATTAGTAATTGTTTATATTATATTTCAGTTTGATCAGGCATCAGCACTACCTTCAGTTTTACGGATCAGGTGGGGACTCAGACTAAGTACTACATTGATTATAATTACGCTACCATGTTTGAGGTATGTATTTCATGTCATGTATCCGCTCGGAATGGTCGCCGGTCCATTCTGGGTTCTAGTGGCCTTAGTCTACCCACTAGAGTGTGCACATGGTGTCCGGTATTTTTAATGCTGGCAGATGAGGTAACGCTCATGGTTCACGTTCACGTGATGATATCCGGTTCATGTTCATGTTATTACCGGTTTCATGTTCAGGTTATGTATATACCAAGATCATGATATTGTTATTATTTTCACTGTTTTACTTTAGTATGAGTTTCTGCGGAGCACAGTGTTTTAGTGCTCACACCCCCACGTATTTCATGTTTTTCAGGTCACAGGGTCGGGGACGAGGAGTGAGCTGACGAGCTGTTCAGGATATTTGTTTTGATATGTATATGTTATGTTTTGGCCACGCTACTTTTCCGCTACAATTTTCAGTACTTTAACTCATCTTTTGATCCGACACTAGTCGGTTAATAAATTTATAACCGTTTTTATTATCAGATTAAAATTAACGGTTTTTAGAAAAGTCAGATTTTCACGGTAACACTCGGAATCAGTTTTCGCAAAAATAAATGTTTTATTTATTTTATTTAGAAAAATTGCGAAAAGTGTACTCTGATTTCAGTAAAATAGCGGGGTGTTACACGATTATCCAAAGCCCATTGGCTTGTGGATGATACATTGTCGTCACCTTATGTTTCATACCATATTTGGCAAAGAAACTTCCAACTTACTTATTACAAATGTGGGATCGATCCCTAATTAATGTTCTTTGAGTTCCAAAACGTATAAGGATATTAACTTTAAAAAAATTCAACACCTCTTTAGCGTCATTCGTCTTGATCGACACCTCTACCCATCTTGAAGCGTAGTCCACCGCAAAATATTCGGATGATACGCTGTCGTCACCTTATGTTTCACCCTCTTCATCTGTAAATTTTTTGAATGTTGCTCTTTTTTTTCCTTGCTTCAAAGTATTCTTCATCATCAGTTCCCAATTCATCCCCACTCTGTCCATCTAATTCATAACTTTCTTCTTCTGGAATATACTCCTCGTCTATGCTTTTCTCGTGACATTAGCAATAAGCTGGTCTAATTCTTCTCCACTAAGTCCATCAAGTCTATCTAATTAAGAACTTTCTTCTTCTGGAATATAATCATCATCTATGCTATCCTCATAAACATTTTCATCACCTTTTTGTTGCACATCTGCCTCTACTGCTATCCTTTTTTTCTTATCATCACCTCTAGTTTCATTCTCATGGCACACCCCCTTTTCTTTGTGGAACCAAAATCAACATATACTTGAACAAAATAGTTTCCAAGATCCATCTTAGAAAGAATTTCTATGACACCGTCATCATTGTGCATGTAAACATACTTTCTACTACCATAAGCCCTATAATACAATTTTTCTCCTTTACTGTACCCTAATTTTTGAACTTCTTCCACTAAATCAATATAACCAAATCAATTTTTGTTAAACCATTGTTTTTCAGTGACCTTTTCTCCATAATACTCATAATCATTGCCAACCTTTACAAATTGTCCACAGTAGTTTATAAAAATCATCAATAACAATGTAATTACAAACCCATGTTTAAGCAAAACAAGTACATATAAACATAATTAAACTAATATATAATCCTAATTATGGGTTACTTAAAAGAACCCTGACCCTAATGTAGATTAACTAAAAGAACCGCAATTTTCTAAAATAATTGATATTATCGACGACAGAAGAAAAAAAAAAATAGTTTTATGACCCTATATATTCGCCTTTTTTGCAGCATGAAGTGGTTAGGGGACCACAGTGAGAAAAATATGATAAGGTTGCCGGAAATTATTAAACAAATAAATATTCGAGAAAATTATTTATGGGGAGTACAAATTACAATCGATAAACAACAAGAGAATTTAGGGAACGTCTTCTTAGTATGAGGTAAAAGAAAAAAAAAAATCAACTGGTAAAATACAACTTATCAGGGTGTGGTGGCATTTTCCATATCACATCAGCTTTCTTATGACAGGTGGTTAAAGTCATGTATCGTTTTGCAAGAAATTGAAGAACTTAATATAATATACAAAAGTAAAAAAGTGGTGATTAAATCGCAATCTCGAAAAAGGTTGCTCAATTTTGCCTATAAGTAATACACTTAACATTGCTTTAATATTCATATATTTCAATTATTTGTAATACTATTTTCCATTATCGATCTTTGTTGCTATTCCTAATTAGTATTCAATTTAAAAAATAGCAACACTATACAGACTTTTATACTTGTGTGTATATATAATAGCACCATATAAAATAAAAAATAGCTAGTATCATACCCAATCAAAATAAATAAATAAATAAATAAATAAATAAATAAATAAATAACTCATCATATTCGATTATGATGTTCTCAAACCAAACTTGTTTTTATTTTAACTCTACCCTATAAATTATTTCTACTTTTTTACCCCCTTATAATTGTATTAATAAAAGTGATGCATTAATTCATGAAATCCCCTTCACATAATTAACATTGAAATGAAAATCACATTACCATTCATAATATAATATTTTGTGCATTAATTATATCATCCACACTTTCACTTGTATTTTCATTTATAAATTGATGAGCAAACCCAAAAATATATACACCTAAAAATTACTTCATCAATTCAAAATTCACCATGAACACCTGCACCTTTCTTGTGATCATTTCCTTCTTTTCTCTCATCAATATTGTAGCTCTCTCTTCAGGAGCAAGGGAGTTAATTTTAAACAAATCAAGAGTTCTCGTGAGCAATGGCTTACGTGACGACAATATCACGATCCACTGCTACTCGTCTGACGATGATTTAGGTACACATCAACTCACTTATGGCGCGAATTTCAGCTGGCATTTCCGCACGAACCTTTTTGACACGACAAAGTTTTACTGCGATTTTAACACAAAGTATGGTTCGGGAAAGTATGGGGTTTTCACTTGGAAACTGAGTGTGGACTATTGTGGTAATTTCTGCATATGGATTGTGGTCAAAGTAGGGCCTTGCTTGCAAGCTGATAAGAAATATGTGTGCCAAGATTGGAAGAATCCACCCAAAACCTTAAGCTGAAAGTTCACCATTTTCCTGATTGTGCATTATCGTGTTATCATTATATACTGAAATTGAAATAATAAAGTGGGATTATGGGTTGATTAGAAGTGGAATAATTCGAATTTTATTTTCCTTTTTATGCTCTAGCTTTTGTTGGAAATTACATATATTTTATTATTATTATTATTATTATTATTATTATTATTATTATTATTATCATTATTATTATTATTATTATTATTATTATTATATAATAGTCAAGGAAATAAATAGCTCGCTAAAGTTGCCGCTATTTGAGAAATAGCTTTTTTTGGCAGCGTGCCGCTATTTGTATTCATGTGCAATTTAGCCGCTAAATTCCGCTAAAT